ACAGCTTACTAGGATTTGTCGTCGTCTAATTTATTCTTTTTTTGTAGAATTTGAAATAGGTAAAAAAAAGTTTAACCATTCTATATTTTTATTTTTTTGTCATCTTAAATATATATTAAACTTTGTATGATACAGAAAGATTACTAAGCTGACGGACAAACTATAATTCTCCAGATACAAAATCCATATCAGAGACATCAAAAAAATCATGAAACTCAAAACAAATTATCAAGACTAGCACTTCACCACTAAAACTATTAAAGATGGCAAATAACACAAGCATAGCCACAAATCGCAAAAAAAATGGTGGATGGACAGAGACCAAAACCAGACTACAAGAAAGACCAGCCAAAATGCGGGAGTCCGACATGCCAAAAGTCCAAACGACACACCACATAAGCTAAGCAGAGAAGACACCAACTCAAGCAGACAAAGCATGAGCAAATTAAAAGGGACCAAAACAAAGGGAGTAATCAAGAAGAAACTCCATCCAAGCGACAAAATCACCAGAGATTGAAGGCGCGATAACATCCCAAATAGTCTAAATGGAGCCTCGAGACCGCTCCCCTCTTCAAAAACCGCAAACAACAAAGTTTGAAGTGAAGACTCTTCACTAAAGAAAGTACCGAAAGATACCGGATCTCACGAGCACAAAAGATCAAAAATTGAAGGACGCTAAGAGGAGGCGCGTTCATCAACGGAAAAGCCGCATCAGAGGACAAACCACGCCTATCATTCCACCAAAGCCCAACTCGAAGAACATTAAACGACATTGCCCATGAACCGGAACAAAGAACCACTTTCTAAACAAACCGAAGCACCAACACCAATGCCACAATCCCTATAATTCACCGGAAGAACTGAAACCCACAAGAAAAATACACAAAGGAGCCGACTACAAGGAGAAATGAACCAAAAGTCCAAACACTTGAGGCAAACAATTCATATAAACAACACCAACCAAAGAACAACAAAGGAAAATGTTTCATAATATCACGGCAAGGAGGATAAACAAAGACAAGATCACGAGAAGACACAGGACCCAATCAAAGCCAACCTCCGAACACAGGCCTCCTACGAAGAACAACTCCGAACAAACAAAGTCCAAATCTAAGCCGACAAAACTAGAGAATGCGAGCTCCAAAGAAACGAAGACTAAGCGATGTCTAACTGAAACCAAACCGTCCTCAACCACCATCGAAGACCTAAACAAAGCCAAACAACCGAAACCACAAGCCAAGGGCCACAGATCTTAAACCACTCCTATGAAGAATCTTTGATTAAAACATAGAGCTAGAGAACAAATAGATCTAAGAGACAAAGCATAAAAACAAGAGTTCTAGCCTCGGCACTATGAAAACCACCGCAAGCCGGAGCCAAAAATGCAAACTCGCCGGAAAAAGTATTGTAGCAAAAAAAAATCGCCCTTTCTCGGCCTTATTGGCTTTTTTTTGTGTCATGTCTTAATGAAATGCTAGCAACCATTCTATATAAATGGATGTTTTTCTTTTTGAGAAA